CCCTACACCATGATCGGCATCTGCCAGCATGGGAACTCCAAATCAGCAGAAGCAGCTTGCTGTTCTCAGCATCTTCCTCACCTTTTTGTCCCCTGAAGATGTAATCTAGGTCTCCTGCACAGCAAGACAGTCATAAACAAGAAGCTACTGCCTGTGAGAACAGGCACAAGAAAGAGGTCATACCAACTGCATTTAAGAGGACCAGACCTGTTATTTTTAAAGGCAGCAAATTTTGCACACACAGAGGGAAGGTTTCTGTGATGATCTAGACATTTTGACTGTGAATGATTTTCTGTAATTGTTCCAATACATTTCATTATTAAAATCAAATTCGCACTAAACTCTACTCCTTTTCTAAGAGCTCACAGGGCTAGCACCGGTGTGCTCGGTGTTGGAAAACAGGCAAAACTTACTGCAGTATACCCCCTCCCAAAGTCAGTCCTTGATTTGCCATCCCACTTATAGCAGAGTGAGAACTGAGATAGATAAGCTATTTTGACTGCAGCAGCCACGCATGGGTACAGTTTATAATGCAACCCATCCACCTTGGAAGGGTCCATTGCAGACACAGGACCTATGACTGGTATTTCCACCACTGTTCTAGGTCTCTTGCCCTCTGGCAGAAAGATCAGTAACTTCTTCCCCCCCATCCAAAAGCAGTTCAGCAGAATGCTCAAAGCAGCCAATCTCTACATCAAGGAAGAATTTCAATTTAGTACAAAACTTTATTAATATCAATACTGTGAAACTATAAAAGTGAACATAGAGAATCTGAGCAGGCCTGGATCCTGTCCCCATCCATCAACCTCAGGGACAGCAGCAAGGCCCCAGGCAGCCTTGTAAACAAACTAGAAAAAGCAAAACCTTTCAGTTTAACAGCAGACTTGAGATTTGGCTCTGAGCAGGGGTGTTTGGAAAAGATTCCTCATTTCTGCTTTACAACACTTTCATCCAAAATGCTGAAGCACATAGGCATGGGTGAAAAAAAATTACCTAATCAGTGACAAGAAAAAGCCTAGAACTCTGAAAATAGAAACTACAGAATCAGTAGATTGCCAGCGCCATACTGCCCTTGCATGCCATGAGGCATGTAAAGAGCTCTGGTGGCATCATGTTCTTCGTGGTCTAGTTAAACAGCTGCAAGCACAGAATAGGCTAAGCCTGAGGTCTTGACAGATGCACATTTTCCAAGAAGATTGCATATGGGAGAGGTTGGCGTTCCCTAGGCTACCCAAGCTACCCATCGCCTCACCCCATGAACATTCTACCTTTTCAGGACATTAACCTTGTTAGCAAAGGGTTTCTCGGCTCAGTTTTACTAGAACAGGCTGGGGACCCTGTCATGAGCTGCTCCACAGGAGACTACAGGAGATAGTAACCTCTGACAAGTAATGGTAAGCTGATGTAGCAGGCTGGAAGCAGTACCGTCAGCAGGATCTCAGAAATTCTTTGAAGTTTTCCTAGTGCCTTGGAAAATGGGTGTTAACTCCACACGGAGGAGGAACTGAGTACTGACACAACTTTCTAGAAGGGGAAGCAAAGGGCATCAGGGAAGCAAGATCAGATCCAGGGAGGAAGGACAAAGTAGAAGCCTAATGCCCTGCATGGCTTATACTGCCCACTGCCAACACTGCATTTGTACCCTGTGATCCAGAAAGGATCAAAATACTAAATCAGTTCTCTAGATCCTTCCCTTTTCGCTTCCTTCCCTGTGATTTAGAATCATTGCTTTTTGTTCTCATCTCCTCCAGCTCCCAAGACAGTAAGTTAGCTTTGAGTTTGCTTGTCCCAGGATTTGCCTGCCTCTGCCCTCCACGTCTGGACAAACTCCAGCTTCCAATCCCCTGTTCTGTCATGGCTTTCAAAAGATGTTCTTGCTTCTTGGCCACCATCTCCTCCCGGCTCCAGATCAGAATATTAAAGCCTGAGAGGAAAATTAAACACTGTGCATCAGAAACTCTACATCGAATATAATAATTTAGGCTACGTCATTTAAATGACAGAAATTCAGAATGCTTCGGCTGTTCTAAGATATTTCCAAGGTACAGAGGATGCAGAGATATTTATAGGAGATGCTATCTCCACATAGCCATAGAAATTTGATCTAATTAAGAAACGTAATCAAGTAATTCCTAATCTCATCTGTCGCAAGTCTAAGACCTAAATCTATACTTGGCTCCCTTAATCTCATACAGCCTGCAAAAAAACTAAGTAATCTTGGCTCTGCAGCCTAGGAAATGAGATAAATTAAATGAAGGGAGAGGGTACAGCCTAGCAGGAAAAGGCTTCCACCCCCTCTCCACCGTTTTCTGCTACTGTTACACGGCCAGCTGACGGCAGCAGCTCCCTGCTGTGGAGAGGCTTCTCACTCCTCTGGACTCCATACTCCTAGGAATGTTACACAGAAGATGACCGACAACCTGTTTTCTAACTGCAAAGGTGTAAGACTGAGAAGAAGGTCTTGATCTCTTTTACAGATGTAGGAAATTACAGAGGACTACTAGCAAGTGGGATTTGGGAAACACTCATGCAAAACTTGCTTTAGTCTGGAGAAACAAGCCTGCCCTTTTCTGGGACTGGAACCCACCCATGCTTAGTGCCCCAGGTTCTCTTTACTTACCCATGCCAGAAGCCAGCGTGTCTCCCATAGGGTTAAATTTATTGAGCTGAAAATGGAAACACAATTGGAGTTTGTAAAGAGCATCACTGCTTATGTAACAGAGTCATAAGAGCACCACTGCTTATGCAACAGCAACAAACCATCTGGAAAACCCAGTGTTCCCTAAAGAGTATCACAGAAAACCCACAGATGACCACAGACCAGCCCTGCTCAAGTCACCAGCTTCAGCTGGCAGCCATACCCCCATAAGAGCGTGAGTCTGTCACAAGTAAAGAGGATACTCCTGTTGTTCTAACCCCTATCTCTTGGCTGTGGCTCAATACACAGCGGTCCTTCTAGCTGCAGTGCTCAACTCACCGAGATGATACCAGAAGCATTTGGATCATGGAGCTGACAAACCATCTCCCCGGTGTTTCCATCAAATACATCAACAGTTCGTAGTTCGTTCACCGTGTACCCTGGGAACTTAGGGTCTGGGTAGCGACCTGCTACAATGAGGTCATAGCGAGGATGCCATGTTGCCTAGTCATAGAGCAGAGTGATGGGAGTTAAGAGAAAGGGACAGAGCTCATACTGACACACACCAGACAACCGGCAGTGTGAGCAGCAGTTTGTACATCCCACTCACAGCCTAAGGAACATGGGTAACCTCAGAACAGTGCTCTGCTGGGAGTTGCAGCAGTGTGAAACGTCCACTCAGCAGTGTAGTATCCTGACCAGAAATGAAACCAGTTCTGATGTACAGCCGGCTGCTAGCACCAAGTGTGATGCTCCTCTCAGACTGCACTGGCTTAACTCACCTTAATAGGTGTGAGGTGCTGAAACTGCCGATGTGGATGTGGGATCAGATGCTGTGGCTTGGTCCAGTCTGAAGACGAGTAAACTCTGATTTCACTGCGCTGGTCGGTGCTCAGAAGCTTGGCACCATCTGTTGGGCTGAAGTAAGCTGGGAGAGGGGGACAATAAGGCAAACAGAAGACCACAGTGCTGTGATTGACAAGAAACATAAGTCATCACATTTCTCCAACTGGAAACCCATTGCTATTTCTTTAATAGGGATGCGAGTATGGCTGTGCGTCTAACAGACAAGACTTTATCTGTCCCAAACAAATTCAAAACTCTTACTATCAGTAAGCTGAAACCTACAGCACTGGATTACATAGGAAGAATCATTATTCTCATTTTAGAATCACAGAAAGAGACATTGCCAAGAAAGGAACTTGTTTGTTCAAATGGAAAGTTAGTAGAAAAGCTGCAGACAGACACCTGCTGCCTGGACTTCCATGAACTGGTAAAACTGCACCCAAGAACAGAGGTTTGAGTCCCATGCTCTGCTGTATTGGGTTTGCGTGGCAAGGTTTTGGTAGCGGGGTGTTTTACAGGGGTGGCTTCTGTGAGAAGCTGCTAGAAGCTTCCCCTATGTCCAACAGAGCCAATGCCAGCCAGCTCCAAGATGGACCTGCTGCTGGCCAAGGCCGAGCCCACCAGCGACTGTTGTAGCACCTCTGGGGTAACATATTTAAGAAGGGGGAAAAAAACTGCTAGACAACAGCAGCCAGGAGAAGAGTGAGAATATGTGAGAGGAACAGCTCTGCAGACACCAAGGTCCATGAAGGAGGGGAAGAAGGTGCTTCAGGCACCAGAGCAGAGACTCCCTGGCAGCCTGTGGTGAAGACTATGGTGAGGCAGGCTGTCCCCCTGCAGCCCACGGAGCTCCACAGTGGAGCAGATATCCACCTGCAGCCCATGGAGGACCCCATACCACAGCAGGTGAGTGCCCAAAGGAGGCTGTGACCCTGAGGAAAGCCCACTCTGGAGCAAGCTCCTGGCAGGACCTGTGGACCCGTGGAGAGAAGCCCATGCTGGAGCAGTTTTGCTGCCAGGACTTGTGACCCACACTGTAGCAGTCTGTTCCTGAAGAACTGCACCCCGTGGAAGTGATCCAGGCCGCAGCAGTTCGTGAAGAACCATGGCCTGTAGGAAGGACTCACTTTGGAGAAGTTCATGGAGGACTGTCTCCCGTGGGAGGGACCCCACGCTGGAGCAAGGGAAGAACATGAGGAGTCCTACCCTTGAGGAGGAAGGAGTGGCAGAGACAATGTGTGATTAACTGACCACAACCCCCATTTCCTGTCCCCCTGCGCCAGGGGTGGGGGGAAAGTGTTTTAAGATTTGGTTTTATTTCTCATTAGGCTACTCTGATTTGATTGGTAATAAATTAAACTAATTTCCCCAAGGCGAGTCCGTTTTGCCCATGATGGTAATTGCTGAATGACCTCGCCTCGCCCTTATCTCAACCAATAAGCTTCTTGTTATACTTTCTCTCCCCCCGTCCAGATGAGGACAGGAGTGACAGAGTGGCTTTGGTGGGCACCTGGCATCCAGCCAGGGTCAACCCACCATATCTGCTTTTGTCAAAGGAACTGCCCAAATAAATTCAGTTTTCTAATCTCAGCCATTGCTGATGCTTCCACACTCACCTCTCAAGGCACAGTGCCACAGTCTGTATAGCAAGTCTAAGACCATGCCGCAGCTGCGCTATCTACCTCCCTGCCCCTGAATACACGTTCCCAATGCCCTCCCTGCTTTAACACTAGCTACTTTGAAACTTCAAATCTGAGCTAAAGCCAACACTGCCACAACAATAAAAGCTGAGCTGAGTGGTCTCTCTGCAGACGTCCACACAATGAAATCCTTATCTCAACTCACCTGCATTGACAGGTTTGTCATGAGGAAGCAAATGAAGAAAATTCGTTTTGTTTTTGATGTTTCTGAGGTCCCAGATTTTGACCGTCTGATCCACAGACGCTGTGGCCAACAACCACTCACATCGGGAGTTAAATTCCACATGAGTCACTTTCTTCCTGTGCAATTTCAGCTTCCAAATCTGCAGCAGAGGAAACAGAAAACCACACAGAAAAAAATAAGCAAGGTCTGGAGCAAAGAAATGGAGAAATAACCTACTAGTGCAGAGTAAAGAGGTCACACATTTACACAGTAACAAAATTTCTAAAATACACCAAGAGTTTATCCACTGGAAACAAGAAAGGAGAAGAATGACCTTGGGAACTATTTAATTCTAGGAGAACTCCGATCCACCAATTTATTACAGCTATGAGAAAGGAAACGCATCCCTGGCTCATGGAGGGAAGTATTAGTGCCACTGTACAAAGCAAGATCACAGCTGGAATACTTTATGCAGTGCCAGTCTTCCACCTGCAGAAAGATAAAAACAAACTGGAACAGGTAGAGAAAATGCATTGCCAGGATAGTAATAAGAAGGAAGGGCCTGCTTTGTGGGAGAAGACCAAAAGAGCTTGCTTTGTTTATCTTAGTAAAAAAGGTGAGAGAAGATATAACTGGCTTCTAGAAATACATCAGCAAAGAAACATGAGGGTAGGAGAAATATTTCAATTAACACAAATAAATGGACATAAGCTGGCCATAAAAACTGTATATATGGATATAAAATGAAAAAAAAAGGTATATAAGCTGAATAAATCTATATTCAAAGCCGGAAGATTATTTCTAATCGAACAGGTGAAGCTGGCCCATCCTCCCTACAATAATGGCTATCTCCCAAGTGCAAAAAAGACTGTCACATTCTTTCAGGATGGAAAAAAAGGAAAGGAAGCACCTCACCTTGAAGCACAAATAATTTGGAGCACTCCTGACTTTGCCCACTAATTTACACAGTTGCCTCTGGCCACAGCTCATTGGGTGACAAATTCTTACAGATGCTACCCTTAAAGGCAGGAGAAATGGTCATTCCGGTGTGGCGGTACAGCAGCCTCCTGAAAGCAGGGCCGACTCCCAACTACTCTCCAGTACGTTTCTGCACTACTTCAGACTCGAAGGCGCAGCCTGCCTCTGCCTGCCCTCTCGTGCCTAATGGCAGTAGTGCAATTTCTAGCCCTACATTCGCTGAATTAATGCTGTGTAGCTACTCCAAGGTCGTGGAAGGGCATACACCAAAGCAGTATCTCCTAAATTACTCTCAGCAGTGCACTGAGTTTCTGGAAGTGTGACTGTTGTTGGCAGAGGGTGCTCACACTTCAGGGTATCCTATAATTACTTTGGGCAGTAGCAAATACTCTTTAAGGAAGGGGTAGCACATGATACACTCCCTGTTTGGGAACTGTTACCATTACGCCTAGCAATGTGAAAATGTCTAAAGAATGGCAGAAGTGGAGGACTTCTCACCACCTAGACAATGGGTGGACTCATCTTGTGAGCTGCAAGGTACTTGTTCCTCTTTTCAGGGTCCCTGTAGTGTAGGAAAGCACATGAGCCGTGAAGATTCCCGTAGAGGAGATGCTTCATGGAGCCATACAAACCTCTTCACCAGACGTGCTAAGCAGGACCACGTTTCCCACATTATCACCTGTCACCACTGCACGGCAGCTTGCAGAAACATCAACACTGCAGTACCAGCAACTAGAGGGAAAGACAGAAAATCAGTGCTGCCTCCCACAGGCAAGTGAAAGCAGTGGAACTCTGGTTCACATTCGTCCCTGACAAGGAAGACTGCAACAGATCGTAGCTGCAATCTCCTGCCTGATGGTGTGGGCCCGAGTATCAGGAAGGGGGACGACTTATCAGCAAAGCTTCCTGTTGGTGACTGAATATGAAATAACTTCCTAGTCATTTCTGAAGTGCTCATTAGATGGCGTGTGACACATTGGGACAGCGGAACATAATAGAGGCTGAAAAGCCACGTGGTGCCTGCAAACGGACACACCTTGGGAAAGATCAGAACACTCTTGTGACATTGACAAATGTACAAAAACAGCTTTAAAATCACATTTTTCACAAAACACTGAAGCAGCAGTAAAGACAAAAGCTTTGGACTGGGAAGTTGCACATCAAACTGTCTCAACGTCATGCTCCAGGAAACAAAACTGAAGAGAGACATATCTGATAAAGACCTATGTCTTAACCCCAGCTCTGCCAGGAGGGAAAGGGCAGCGAGAATAAAGCTGGGGTCCTTTGGGAACTTGTTGGGAAAGCTTCACTTGCAAAGATAAATCATTCTAAATTCAAGGTCATGGAAATGAGCATGGTGAGCCTGATGGCTCTAGAAGGGCAGCAGGGTAAACTCTAACCTGAAACTCAGATTGTGCAGGGATGTTTTGTGGCTTTGCTATGCCACCTGAGCTGCTACAGACAAAACACACAGAACAGTGACGACAATGAAGAAGAGGAAGTTATTGTCCTCTTCTCACCTCACACTTTATGAAGTGAAAAGCTGTCAGTATCTGCAAGACAGGAGATGGCATCACCAGAAAGCAACAACAGAAGATGTAGGCAGCATGCTCAGCTACTGTAAAAGCCTAAGTGCCCTGCAGCTGCCTAGCTTGTCACCCACCCTGCAGTGCTAGGGTTGTGAGCAGAAGCCTGTCTCCAAGCTCCCTCCCAGGACCAATTAATACCAAGAGTCTCCTAACACTGGCAAAGATGAAGATGTTAGAGAGCACAAGAAGTAGCACAGTATTAACCAAGGAACAGAGAATCAACCTTGCACTGCTCCTTTCTCACCAAACATTATGGTACTCATGGCCACAGTCCGGGGCACGGGAGATCACCTGCCCCGCTCTGCCCTCAAGGTCTTGCAGACTCAGGGTGCCATCCCCTGACGCCACATAAAGCTTCACTGCCTCGTAAGGACTGAACTTGATGTCTCCGAGAGAATCTCCTGGCCCTTTCTGGAATACACACAAAGCCAAGAGGCATCAAGGTTAGAGTAGAAGACAAAATCTTAATAACAATGCATCTCCTGGAACACACTGCCAGTTTCCCTAGGTACAGTGCACTGCTTTGTGACAGGGCACATACCTAAGAACTCTTTTTTTCCAACCTGTTTCCAACCTGAGCACACACATTCTGAACCTGTAAGTTCAACCCCACCACTTGGGGCTGCAAACCTTGTTAGCAGCATTGATTCTTCTGCTATGGGGGTAGGAGTAATCTGCAGTAAACCACCTGGCTCAGACCTGGCTTTAGGAGATCACAAGCAAGACCATCATCAATCCATGCAGAAACTACATAAAATCTCATGACAACCCTGCACCAAGCTTTTCTAACAGAGACTTCATTCACTAGTTCCCTACAGGCTGCTTCCAGTGCTGTATCTGGTCTTTCTCAAGGTACCAGCAGGCAGGATGACAGTGGTGCAAGGAGAAATCCTACTGCTAACCCCATGGCACAGGAATCTTATATTATGTGTTATGTTATATTGTTGTTACGTTATTTTGTTTTTCTATGTTGTTTTCTCCCAGTCTATCTATTGAGGAAATACGGAAATCCTACACAAAGACAGAAAAGAAGGATGCTAGTTGGGAGTCCCCAAACTCTTCGATACTCAAGGGCCCTCCATCTGCTGCTCACAGAGCAACTACTTAATAAAGACTCACTGTAAATACCAGATTTCCAAGAAGCCAATAAGGATAAAAAAAGGCCTGCCCATAGAGCTTGCCAGTCCTCACAGCAGTAAAAGGAGGATGGCATGCCCTTTTAAATCCAGGCATCATTGTTGTGACAGGCATCCCACTGGGATACAAGATTCTCATGTCCCAGACTCAGTCTATCCCTCCTTGCTCACCTGGCCAGTCACCACAGCACTACTTGGGTTCACTTTCTGCCCTATTACAAGGCTGCAGCTGGAACAGCCAGTTTGGAAACTAACCATGAAAGTTGCCACCCGGAAAGAATCAGGTGGGGAAAAGTAAAGAGGAGGCTAACCCAAACTCCCTCACTTACCTTTAAACACTGAACTGAAGTAACTAATTGAAGAGCTCAGGCTTCCTCATGAGTCCACAGAAAAAGCAACAGTCTGAGAGGGCGATTCTCAGCACAGGCAGACAGAGTAGCCTCTAGCAATTCATCTCCTCTTTCCAATCATTACTGAAGGAGCCCAAACTCTTAATTTTGGAATTTTAGATAGGCACCATAAGGTAGGTGGGATGAATTGGGGTGATCCTTATCACATGCACCACCTGAAGTCAGTGGCTTTTGTGAAGAAGCACTGAGGGGACTATAAATTGTCCTGTAAAAACCATCTGACAAGGAGCAGCATTGCTAACAGGTGCAGAGGTTAGAAGGTCCCCAGGGCACAGAGCTATGGGAGGTTTAAGAACAGACAGCTGAGGAAATCCACTGGCACCCCCATGCTCTCCCATGTACAACAGGAAGCAAGCAGCATCAGAGTCTCCCTCCCCTTCAAGAAAAGCTCTCTCCTACCCACCACACCATTTTGGGGGAGGGGGGAAAAGGCACAGTGAGCCTCCCTGGAAGAGAGAGGATCCCTGAAACTTAGATGATAAAGGACATGTTCGTGGAGAAAAGGAAGTCCAGCTCCCGCATTTTAGAGACAAATCTCTCTCTCTCTCTCTCTCTGTAGCGCTCCTGCCAGCAGGACACAGAGGCCCAAAGCATTGCTGTATTTCTTACTCCCAGTCCTCGGTGCTGGTGAAGACCCGGACAGTATTGCCATTAAAATCCTGCAGGGTGGTAGTGCCGGCAACTGACGAAGTGTACAGCTGACTAGGGTTAAAAGGGTTAAACTTCATTCCTGTGATGGCCCCTCCAGCTCCCATCTACAAGGAAGGGGATGAACAAAAGAAAAATCCACTGAGTGATGGGGAAGCAGAAAAGTGTCTTCTGTAAGTCTGCATTCACTGCTATGTCCTTAACAGCAACAGTGAAACACACCACAGCCCTTCAAGGAGGCAAAGACAACCATGTCTTCCCACATGATAGCTGTCTAGACAGCTGCCCTCCTGGAGGACAAAACTGCAACTCCTTCAGTCCCCAGGCAATGTATTCCCTGGCTGGCTAGCACCACACTGTTTTCAAAAAGAGAAAGATGACCCTGGAATTTCTGGAGGATAGACCTCCTCCCAGTGTATATCTACATTAAGTTAGAAAGGGGACAAAAGTTACAGAGTCTTTTAGCCCCTGTCAGAATGGGAATGGCTGAATACAGCAATGAGGGGGCATGCCAGCTATATAAACCTTCATTCTACCTTAGTTTCTCACTTTAGATACAGGACTTTGTATCTAAACTCAAAGATGTTTCCTCATCTGACACAGAATAAAAGGTGAGCAGAGAAAGATCAAGACCCAAACCAGAAAAATCCTCTCTGCCTATTTGTTTTGGGCATCCCTTTAAGATAACCATTTTGCCAGTTGCTGAATTATTTTCCTACTAAGCACACACGAAGTAGTGCTTCATTATGAACTTCATCGACACACCTCAGTTCTCCCCAGTGCTAGAACAGTCTGAGACTTAGGAAATGACATGCTGTTGCATCTCAGTCCTGCCCCACAGCTGGCTACTCTGCAATCCGTGTTTCTCACAACAGACCTCAGTTTTGATCTGCAGTATTTGGTGGTATTCCAGTTTTCCCTCCCACCCATTCCATGCACCCAGAGGCTTACCCCTTTTATGAAGCAGGTTTTAGTAAGTACTTCATAGTCCCAAAGGATGATGTCTCCACCTTTGGAACCAACAGCTACAGTACTGGGGTGTGTTGGATGCCATTCCAGGCATGTCACTCTCCTGTCAAAGGGACTTGCTGTTCGAAAGAGGCGGTATGAGGCGAGAGAACGCAGAAAGGGCAGCTGCAGACACTGTTAAAAAGATAAAGAGAATTATGACTTTTGCAGGGATCCACGAGATTCTTTGAATGAGGAGTGCTAACAATTTCTAATTGCCATCAGTGTTAGTACATTCACACAAAATTCTAAGCCTCTCCGTAAAATGAAGAGAAGATGCTGTCCCCAAGGGAAACAGCCTGTGTTTCCACACAAATCCACATCGGTCACAGCACTCAGAACGCAACAGAGAACTGAGAGATACTTCAAATGACATACAGGGAGTTAAGCCTCATGGGTTGAGCTAAAAAGGCAGGATAATTAACAAGAAAGGAGAACATGCCTCCACACCAGTTAAAAGGCACTTATGACTATCTATGTCTTTACTGAGCATCCCAAAATACTATACATCATCCAGAGACACAATACAATGGTCCTCCATCCAAATTGCCTGCAGCTCAACTACACATTGATAGCATAAGAGTGATCAGAACACTTGACGTAGTGAATGAGAAACCATGACATGATTGTATTGTTATTCAGCTGAGGAATAGGTAGTGCTTGGATGAGCTTGGTGATTTCTTTATCATTTGGATACTTAAAACAGATAAATTGTACAGAAGATAAAGCTAGCCCAGGTGCTTCCCACCTATGGATGTTAGACAAAAAGTTAATTTTCAAATGAAAGGAGTATGACTCTGAAAACAGTAAAACATTATGGACTTGATGGAATATGTCTGTGAAGAGGAAAAATCAACACTAAACCTGACATGATTAGCAGAGTGGATATGAAAAAGTACAACAAAACAGTCAGATTAGTGTGCAAAAGGAACACTGTGCAATAACTAAAATGGTAGAGGGGGTAAGTTTAAATACGATTCAAGGAAGTACAGAATTAACAGAGGGATAAAACGTAGAGTGACAGGGCCAGGTCAACTGAAAGGGAAAGCCATCTCAGCTCTTGCATTTTACAGGATTAAGAAACATAAAGGTGTGCCAGATTTGGAGCCACAAACTGTGTATGTGAGGAACTTTAAGCCCCTTTGAAGTTTCCCTGAGTGTGTTTAAGACGTTTTTATGTAGGGAGCTGAGATGTCCAGGAGGTCATGAAGGAGAAACTCCTCACCTGCCTGAGCTGTGCCCGAATGGAGCCTCCCAGCATGTTCTGGTAGACATAATGAACAATGCTACACTGCCGCCCCAGCTGATGGAAAAGGACTCTGTTGTTTCTCACCACGGACCCTCCTCCACTCCAACCTGCCAGAGTGGAAAAGAGTAAAACTTACTGAGAGCCAATACCTGTCATGCTCATTCAATAAAACACATGGGAAGACATCTGCATTTGATGCTAAATCCATGAAAAGCTTCAGCCACAAGAGAAAAGTCTCTAAACAATTCTTACATCTCTAAGATGCAGCAACCTCTGCAATTATGGAGCCCGGTGCTTCCCACAGCCTGCCAGAGCTTTGCGTATGCTTCCTCTTGTTAAACGTTCCTTCTCCTTGCCAAAGATTTATCAAAAGACAACAGGAGAGGACTAAAGCAAAGCCACAGGTGGTGCATCTCTTGGACAGCATACAACTTGAATGGTTCATACCCAAAATACAATGAGGCTATCCAAAGCCCCAACAACTTGGAAATACACCATGGGAGGTGGTAAGTCCCTTTGTACAGCAAAGGGAAGGTCAGACGTGTGACCAGCAGAAACATTAACACCTGAAAATTCCCCAAGCGTAGCAACATGAGTTCCCACACAGTTCCTGAAATGCCTGCTTGTGAATCAGAATTTTCGATCTGCTTGTGCTGTAGCCCGCATCGTCTGCCTACAACACTGTGAGTTTTGTTTTTGATAATAGACTTGCTGACGCCTCATTGCCTGAAAACCTTTCTGTTTGGAGTGATTTTTGCTGAGAGTACAGCACGCTTCTACATTTTGTTCGTGTTCCAAGTTTTTATCTTCAGGGACCTTTACATATAAAACAGATCTGTTCAGTCCCGTGTCTGTGAGCTAATCATCCCCACGGCAATGGTCTGTAACACTCCAGGGGACCTAGACATCAAATGGGAAAGAAGCATTTCTTAAAAAACAAAAATGCATTTTTTAACTAAGGATAATTATAAAAAAACAGAAGACCAAAAACATAGGGATCATTCCATATGATTAGAACCTAAACAAAATCTTTCTTTGCTGGAGCCTAGAAATGCACGGGTGTGAAAGTTCTTTGTTCACATGCCAACATAGTGCCAACACCTGTCACACCTGTTGAAATAGGTAAAAAAGTATTTATAGTCTAATTAAAGATTAGAATTAATTCTAAGAATTAGCATCCACAGTTCCTTCTTCAGAGGTGACAGAAATGGAGGTATTTTTTCCAAATTCTCTTTTATTACGAAGGATCATTTATTAAGAAACAAACTTCAGGCCTTTTTAGAATCTGCTGGAAGAAACCCTTTAAAAGATGTTTCAAGTGCAAGAAATTGAACCTGTCCTATATGGCTCAGGAGAAAAAAACTGCTTTTTCCAAAACATATAAAAATCAAAACTGGAACACAGAATAGAAAAGCTCAAATACAAAGGTCTTTGTCTTTTTTAAAAAGGGTTAGGGGGAAATACAATTGGCTCATTTTTCCAAAGTACTAGCTACATCCAATTCCCTCTGTATCTTATAGGAGCTGCAGATGCTCACCAAAGCTGAAAATTAGGCCATGAAGTTACAATGAAAATCATGTAGCTAAATTAACGACAGAAGATGCTTTAACTATCCACAGTTACACACAGAACTCCTTTCAAACAGAGTATTTTGCCTCCACATCTGCTGTTCACACTGCCAACTGCTCCAAGGCTGAAGTTATACACCAGACAATGCAAATGTACAAAATCATAGAACTCCTGTATGTCTGACTTCACAGACTTTTTGAACTCTGACTCCTTAAAGCCAAAATTGTACAGAAACTGTGTAATATTTCCACACAAGGCAGTAACTTTAATGATCTCCTAATGGGAGAACAATGGAAAAAAAGGTTTTATCTGAGAAAAGGAGGCTGAGGGGAGATGTTATCGCTCTCTATGACTACCTGAAAGGAGCCTACAGTGAGGTGGGTGTCGGTCTCTTTTCCCAGGTAACAAGCAATAGGACAAGAGGAAATGGCCTCACATTGCATCAGATGAGGTTTAGATTGGATATTAGGAAAAATTTCTTCACTGAAAGGGTTGTCACGCATTGAACGGGCTGCCCAGGTAAGTGGTTGAGTCACCATCCCTGCAGGTATTTAAAAGACATGTAGATGTGGTGCTTAGGGACATGGTTTAATGGTGGACGTGTTAATATTAGGTTAATGGTTGGACTCAATCTTGAGGGCCTTTTCCAACCAACATGATTCTATGAAAATAGTCCTTACTGTAGCTAAACTCTACACAACTTTCTTGATAATGCAAAGCATTAACCTTTCCAGTATCTTAGAACTTAATCACCTCCCCTCATTATATCAAAAATCTTTAAGAGTTTGGTTGGGTTTTTTTAAGTTACGTACTAAAGAAAAAAATGCACATGAGGAGAACTAATTAGTGGAAATTTTGTCCAGTCTAATCTGAACATTGAGGTAGAAAGTATTCCTACTTACCGTAGCAGAAGTTAGAATAAGCAAAGAATCAGGTGGAAATGACAGTTTAGACTGCATGCTGTAGGATACCAACCTTACGACTATGAAACTGCATTAAGAATTGCACGGGAGAAAAGCAATGTATTACCAAGACTGGTCTGTCCTAAAATAAAGCAGACATCTGGTAATTCAGGAATTCCACAAAACTTAACCACCCACAAATGAGCCATGACAGCATCTTCAGAGAGCAGGCTTCTACCACGGGGTATGAAGTCGCAAAAATGAAACATGCATGCATACGCACACACACTCTTACTAGACAGATAATTGAGGATTACTACCCCAATACACGTCTGTGTATCACTTCAATATATAACTCCATCTGAATACTCATGTCTGAACATGCTTCTTGGCATTCCCCCTCTTCAACTAGTCAATGCCTGTCATTTCGCGTAAATCTGGTTGGGAGAAATGGCAAGGATCTGAGGAAATGTTACCGATTTTCTCTGGGGGTTTGGATGTTTTTCTCACAAACAACCTCTTTGCTTGTGGCTCATTCCCTAGTTCCTCGTAGTCCGGTTTCCTCTTCCCAGCTGCTTTTGCCTCTTCCGGACAATGCTCATGTGCCCTCTCATGCTTCTTGTCCTTTGGCTGATTCACTGGAGCCATCCTGTCTGACCACTAAAAGCAAACAAAGCATGGAAGGTAAGGCTGTCATACACTTTCAGCTAGAAGGCAGAGAGGAAAACTGGAATGCAACATGTCCCAGTGGTCTGAAAGTAATGATTATACCTGTACCCTCTTTCATCAGTATGACACTAGCTTTTTGTTGTGCTCTGTTGGAGAGGGGAACAGGTTCAATAAACTCTTCTTTGTTCACATATGAAAATGAACGTAACCTAAAGCATTAGAATATGTTTTGACAGATGTGCTTCTACCAAAATTCTAAGCTTAAAACCCACAGATCTGCATAAAGTACATTTGTGAAACCACATAATACCCTAACTGTTTCTGTAGTAGCTCACACTGAGCTCTTCAGATTTAGCTAAGAAAAACATCAGAGCTTTTACAACGAACGATGGCCAGGGCTGACTGCTCTTCCACTGAATATGCTCAGAAGACACTTTTAACAGCCTCTTTTCCTGATAACCACCACCTGATCCTTGGATTGGGCTCCTACACTGGCTGGCTACCACACCTGAGCTGCTCTTCTGACCAGCGGTGGGACACAGCAACGCGTGTCTTGCCTTATGACAACCAAAACACCACCCGGCCCCGGAGGAAAGGCACGGGCCTCCCACAGCCTTGCTCGCAGCTGGCGGGCTATGCGTCACACACCGTTTGCAGCAGCAAATTCCCCCCCTCCCCGAAGATCCTCTGCGAAAAGCCTCGTACAGGCTGATCCCGTGCTGGTGCTAAACTTATTTATGATTCGTGCATGGCTGTCACTGATATCTGCCCGCGTTAAATATAGCTCGGCAGGCACCGCGCAAGCTTCCCCAAATAGCGCCCACCCCGTGCCTCCAGGCCTCACCCGGCCCCGCGAGGCCGCCCTTCAGCGCCGC